GGTGGGGGGGGCGGGACGGCCCCCCAGGCACGGAGCCATAGGAGGGGCCAGACCTGGTCCCAGGCAGGCTGTGCAGGGCAGGGTGAGGCTGTGGGACTGGGGGTGGGGGTGCTCTGCGCTGTGGGGAGCACAGGTGCTGGGGGTGGTGCAGGGTGCTGGGTAGGGGACATGCAGGAACCCAGGCCCATGGGAGGGGAGACTGCCCCCCACCCCAACCACCATGACAGGCCCGTGCCGTGTACACGTTGGGTCTCTTCTCCTCCAGCGCGTCGCGGTACTGGACGATGGCCTTGAGGTGGGGCAGCTGCTTCTGCACCGTGAGGGACAGGGGGATCAGTGCAGCTGCCTGAGGGGGAGGAGAGCCCCCCACCCCACCCCCCACTGCACCCCCATCCAGTGCCGGGTGCCCCACACTCTGCGATGCCCCTAGGTGCCAGAGTTGGGAGAGCCGGCGGCCCAGGGCGGGCATCGCTGTGCCGTGGGGCTGAGGGGAGGGGGAGGGGACAGGGTGGCATGGGCAATGGCACAGTGAGAACAGCGGGGGATGAGCCCAGCGGGGTGGGGCTGGGGCTGGGGTCCAGGAGGCCGGGGAGGACTGTGCATGGGGGAGAAGGGGAGACACGACACCCCCATTCCTGGAACAGCTGGTGCACGGTGATGGGGGGCAGAATCCTGTGGCCCATGGGGTCCAGGCGCAGCCGTACCACCCCATCCACACGTGTGGTGAACAGGCTCTCCACCAGTGCCCGGGACCCGCTGCAGCCCCCTGCCGGCAAGAGGGCAGGCGGGTCCTGGGCACCTGGCACCAGCCATTGCACTGCCCCCTCACTGCCTGTTGAAGTAGCTTGTTATGTTCAATGCTTTGAAGTTGCACATGCTTATACTGTAGTATTGTTTATGTTTCAGCCTTATTTAATCATTGCTTAAGTTTTGTGCTTATTCACTTCGATCATTACCCCCAAGTTCCTTTTCGGCCATGGTGCAAGTCAAGCAACATATCTTCTGGCATGGCCAGACTGACCCCGTAACTTGGTGTCGTCCGCGAACTTGGCCAGCGAGCTTTTCGCTCCCCCATCCAAATCATTGATAAAGATGTTGAAAAGCACCCGTCTAAGCATGGACCCCTGAGGGACACCACTGGCCACTTCGTGCCAGGACGAGGACGACACGGATCCATTCACGAGACCTCTCTGGGTCCTACTCCGTAGCCAGTTTCCCACCCACTGAACCATCGAGCAGCTGAGCCCACAATCTGCCAGTTCTCACACACAGATATCGTGGGATACTAGATCAAAAGCCTTTTGGAAGTCTAGGTATATAACATTATATCTTTTCTTTTTTATCACTGTGAGAAGTTCTTTTTACATATAGCAATGGCCTTGTTACTAGCTCCAATTAATTAAACTTGACACTAACCAGCTGAATCAGAGGGATGAAAAAAATGGATGTAGTAATGAAAGGTGATAAGGAAGACCAATGAACAATGCCCAAAGTAAGACACTGGAAGAAGGCCAAATTAAGAGGTGTGCTTGTAATGGATCTGTTAGACAAAGAAATATGTTGATGGAGTAAAAGATGGACAGTGCTGACTGCGGAGAGACCAATCCAAAAGCAAAGAGTCATCAAAGAAACAAAGTTGACAAAAAGCATAAAAGCAGGGAGCAAGAAAGTTCATTGTTGTCATCATAAATCCAACCTTCAACACCTGTCTGGACCAGTCCAGCCTACGATGTACCTTTTGCTTCCAGGAACCGAGTGGTCATCTTTCCTGTTGAGCAAAGTAACAGCTGGGATTGGGTGAGATTATTGTCGATTATTGCCGACAATGCGAGGTCGCGGTCGGCAGGGCTAACCGGACCCTATCGTGCATCCACAGGTGCATCTCAAGTAGGGCCAAGGAGGTGATCCTCCCCCTCTACGCGACACTGGTCAGGCCACAGCTGGCGTATTGTGTCCGGTTCTGGGTGCCCCACTTCCAGAGGGATGTGGACAACATGGAGAGGGTCCAGAGGAGGCCACCCGCGTGATCCGGGGACAGCAGGGCAGACCCTACAATGAGAGGCTACGGGGCCTGAACCTGTTCAGCCTTCACAAGAGAAGGCTGAGGGGGGACCTGGTGACCGTCTATAAACGCACTAGGGGGGACCAGAAGGGCTTGGGGGAGACCTTGTTTCCCCTAGCGCCCCCCGGGATAACAAGGAATAACGGCCACAAGTTGTGGGAGAGCAGGTTCAGATTAGACATCCGTAGGAACTACTTCACAGTCAGGGCGGCTAGGATCTGGAACCGACTTCCAAGGGAAGTGGTGCTGGCTCCTACCCTGGGGGGCTTTAAGAAGCAGCTTGATGCCAACCTGGCTGGGGTCCTTTGAGTCCAGTTTTCCTCCTGCCCAGGCAGGGGGGTCGGACTTGAAGATCTACAAGGTCCCTTCCCACCCGACTTCTGTGATTCTATGATTGTACTGAATGTTTTTCTTTCTGAATATAAAAACTGCTAAGATAGTACTGGTTGTATTAATAAAGTTCAGCTTTGATTTTAAGGCACGGAGTTGTCTGATACTGAGTTTTCTGGGACACTGAGTTGTCCAAGCTGTTGGATTGCAAGACACTGAGTTTAAGTGAAACTTTGATTTTAGGGCACAGTTGTCTTCATTCGTATTTTATGCTCCATTTCAAGGTTAATTGTGCTTTAGCGATCCCGGAGCACTGTGGCAGGCCAGTAGGGGAGCTCCTGTGCTTTACTCTCCTCCCGCCTCACTGCGCCGGCCTCCCCTGGGGCGCCTGTCAGGCCAGCCCCCTCCCTGGAGCACGCCTGCAAGCCTGGGGTACCGCTGCCACCACCCAGACTCAGGTGAAGGTCTGGGCCCTGTGCCGCCTGGTGCACACAGGCCCTGTAGACCTTGGGATTTTGAGTTGCTTCTATTAGCAGGAACCATTCACCATCAGCCTCCCGTGTGGCAGGAGAGTAACTAGCCGTGCTCACCTCAGCGGGCCCTTTCCCTCTCAGGCCCACACAGTGAGGTGTGCTAAAACAGAAAGATTTATTGATTGAGGAGGGATGTGAAGGGGAAGGAATACCAATAGCAAAATGTAGAAAGAAAACCAGCTTGAGCAAGTCTGAGTGGCTTGTCCGCCTGTTGCCATGCAGCTAAATTACAGTCAACTACATTTCTAGTTAGGTTTCTGGTCAGTTACTCACTTCTGGATCCTGAGTGAGAAAGAGGGCTTCGCAAGTCCATGCTGCTCAGTGTGTGTCTTTAAAATGTCCTCCCCTTCTTCCTGGAGGGGACCTCTTAAATAGCCCTTCTGACCTCCCCTTCTCAACCCAATCAGGAGCAGGTGTTGTTTGATGCTGACCAACCAATCTGAAAAGCATCACACCTTGCACTGGACTCAAGTCCCTGCTCCCCAGGTCATGGGGCCAGGGCTCAAGACAATAGGGGCTAGGTGACTCAGATCACATACGCCATAACCGGGGGCAACCAGACTAGCAGGCAGGTGAGAAGAACAAGAAAAAGAAAAGGAAAAAACCCCCTGAAAGTTGGAGGCTGGAAGAGGATTCTTCTTTACATGTGCTATCTGGTGGACAGTGGTGCTAACATGCCCCTGGCACTGCGTATCCCCAGGCTGACCCTGTGCCAGGCATTGCATGCACTGCCCAGAGCAGGTCCCTGCATGCGAGTCAGGCAGCTGGGTCCACCCTGCAATCCCTCACCTCCTGCCGGGACCTGGACCAGCTGCACGGCCTCAGCTCCCCACCTGCACGGTCAAGGGCACCAGCCCAGCCCTGCCCCAGGATGCACACAATGGGCTGCTCTCACCGGTGTGGCACCAGTGGGGGGCTGGGAGCTGCTGCGACCCCCCGAGCCATGCCCGGCAGAGTCTGCTTTTCAGCTAGCGTCCTGCCATGCAGATGTGCTCTGCAGAGGAGAGACCGTGGGAAATGCGGTGTCCCCGGTGCCCCTGCCCAGGTCTGGGACCCTCTTAGCCAGGGAGCTGGGAGAGCACAAATGCGGTGGGCACGCAAGCAGCACGTGTCCCTGCTGACCCCCCATGACTTCCGATGGAGCAGGTCCCAGGCTGCTGCCTGGCTGTGCAATCTCCTGGCCACCCCAGCCCTCAGGAGGAACTGAGCGTCCTGCTTTGTACAAGTGTGACGTCGTGTGACGTCCTTTAACTTGGCAGCACCGGTCCTCACCTGGAATAGTGGCACCAAGGGGCGCAGCCTGTTGGGAAGCACACTTTGCTTTGAAAGGACGTGCTGAGGCCTGCTGCAGCAAAGAAATTCAGGCTTGTCCTCAGGGCCAGCAAGAAAAGAGCAGCGATCCGGGGCGCACCTGGGCAGACAGAGGGACTAGAAGGGCAGTGATGTCCTGGAGGAGCCCCACAGACACCACGGCAGAAAGAAGTGGGTGAGGCAGTCTTCACGCAGGGAACGAGAGCATCCAAATGCGGCCGACGCTCCTAGCAAGGGGTGGACACTCCCCCGACAGTGGCTGCAAGAAGAGCACAGCCATTCAGACAATGCCCAGCGGGTCCTAAACACGAGCACAGGACGAGGTCCTGGGCACGGCCGGGGGCCTCTCTCCTGCACCCGGGTCGCACCAGCACGGAGGAGCCGCACGAATGGGAAGTGGTTGGAAACCTGGGAGGAAGCAACCATGCGCAAGGCACCAAGGCAGAGGCAGTCTGGCCTAACGGCTAGGCCGTGAAGGGACGGCTGAGCCCAGTGGCGAGGGGCAGAGGGAAGTCCAGGGACAGAGCCCACCACGCAGGCCAGGGGCAGGTGCTGGGAGTCAGGGGCCCAGTTGCCAAAGCCCAGGAAGGAGCCACAGGGCAAGGGCTGAGCTCGAGCCACGCCGGGGCCCGGCCCCAGGACAACCAGAGCGCAGGAGCCAGGAGGCTGCCCACAGCCCACGGCTCAGCACTGCCGGGGCCTGGTGGGGGCTGCGGCCCCATTGGCACCGAATGGGAGCTGCGCTCCCCGCAGCCCCAGGGAGCAGCCGGTTCACGCGCCGGGGCGGAGCGGTCAACCAGCCCTCGCCAAGCAGCGGGGCTGCCCAGGCCGTGACTGACCCAGCCTGGCCGGCCTCGTCCGACCCTGCCATTGGACACCGCGGATTTTGTGGCGCTGAGAGAGGGAAGGCTCGAGACACGGCGCTGTCCTCGCTGCGACTCAACTGCCGCAGGGAAGCGACAGGCGACCCACGGGCAGGCGGCGCGGGGGACAAGGGCCGGGAGGACGTGGTGCTGGGGCTCAACACGGAGGCTGTCCAATTGGCACCGCTGTTCGTTGCACAGTGTGGTGCATGCGCTGATGAGGTCTCTGATGTCTGCTGGATCCGGCACGCAAGTGACCGTCCTGCGCTCAGGCAGGGCTCCCCCACACGGCAGCAATGCTGTGAATCGAGCAGCAGGTTCGCCTGCCAGAGCGGCGTTCTGCACTCCCCTCCCGTCATCCACAGAGCCCCCAAGGACGCCCCGTCGTCTGTCAGCATCCCGAAATCTGCACAGCGACTGCCTCTCTTCCTAGCCCCTTCGCAAGCTTCAGACGAATCCTGTGATCCGGCTTTCACGTGACAAGACTAAGACACCTGAGCCTTGTCTTACTAATCAGCATTCCCATGGGTGACTTACCTGCACAACTTAACACTTCCACACTTGTCACCCTCTCATAGATTCATACATGTTAGGGTCGGAAGGGACCTCAATAGATCGAGTCCGACCCCCTGCATAGGCAGGAAAGAGGGCTGGGTCTAGATGACCCCAGCTAGATGCCTATCTAACCTCCTCTTGAAGACCCCAGGGTAGGGGAGAGCACCACCTCCCTTGGGAGCCCGTTCCAGACCCTGGCCACTCGAACTGTGAAGAAGTTCTTCCTAATGTCCAGTCTAAATCTGCTCTCTGCTAGCTTGTGGCCATTATTTCTTGTAACCCCCGGGGGCGCCTTGGTGAATAAAACCTCACCAATTCCCTGCTGTGCCCCCGTGATGAACTTATAGGCAGCCACAAGGTCGCCTCTCAACCTTCTCTTGCGGAGGCTGAAGAGGTCCAGGTGCCCCAGTCTCTCCTCGTAGGGCTTGGTCTGCAAACCCTTAACCATACGAGTGGCCCTTCTCTGGACCCTCTCCAGGTTATCCGCATCCCTCTTGAAGTGCGGCGCCCAGAATTGCACGCAGTACTCCAGCTGCGGTCTGACCAGCACCCGATAGAGGGGAAGTATCACCTCCTTGGACCTATTCGTCATGCATCTGCTGATGCACGATAAAGTGCCATTGGCTTTTCTGATGGCTTCGTCACACTGCCGACTCATGTTCATCTTGGAGTCCACTAGGACTCCAAGATCCCTTTCCACTTCCGTGCCGCCCAGCAGGTCATTCCCTAGGCTGTAGGTGTGCTGGACATTTTTCCTCCCTCGGTGCAGCACTTTGCATTTCTCCTTGTTGAACTGCATTCTGTTGTTTTCTGTCCACTTGTCCAACCTGTCCAGGTCTGCTTGCAGCTGTTCCCTGCCCTCCGGCGTGTCCACTTCTCCCCACAGCTTTGTGTCATCTGCAAACTTGGACAGAGTACATTTCGCTCCCTCGTCCAAGTCGCTGATGAAGACATTAAAGAGTATCGGTCCAAGGACCGAGCCCTGCGGGACCCCACTGCCCACACCCTTCCAGGTCGATCCCGACCCATCCACCACGACTCTCTGGGGACGCATGAGTCTCACGACGCATGTGCCAATCCAGGATATCGGCAATAGACATCTTTTGCTTGTGACCGAGCTGCATGCACACCTTGCAGTACCATCGATGAATTCGGAGTTCAGCAGATCAAGCTGTTACTCCACGCGCATGCGTACTTGCTTCCCCCCATGAACAGCAAACCCTATGCACAGCCTCTTCCGTAGTGCGCATGCGTATTCATGGCTGCTCATCGATGTTTTCATCGCACAACTGGGAGCCTGGCTCGTGCAGCTCATGCGCACTGGGTTACTTCTCGCTGTTCTTAACGTCAGGGCCCAACACTGGTTTCACGGCCCGCATGCCTGTGGTTCCCAGCTGGCAGAGACGTAGGGTGGGGTACACCGCCAGGAGTATTGATCCTAGTGGGAATTGTAGGGCTCATTTGGAGTCCGCATGCATACTTAGAGTCGGGCCCTGACGGTTTCGGCGCTAGTCATGCCATCGCTGTCCCAGTAACTTTGGGTACCCATCTCATCTTTACTCTTCCAGCGTTCTGCATGTCCCCTCAAGCTCCCCTGCTGCCTTAATCCTCCTCTGGCCCCCTCAAAGTCTCTGCATCCCCCGTTTCTGCCTCAAGGTCTGTGCATCGCCCCCTGCCCCCCCTTCCTTTGCTCTTCAAGCCTCCTGCTTGTCCATTGAAGCCCCCTGCTGCCTTAATCCCCCTCTGGGTCTCTTAAGTGCCCCCCCTCCCCTCTGGCTCTGTGAACCACCCTGCGTCCCCCCTCGTGTGCCCTCAAGCTGTCTGCATCTTCTGTTTGCTTGTCCAGCCCACCGCATGTCCCCTCAAGCGTCCTGCTGCCTTAACTGCCCTCTGGTCCCATCAAGGTCCCTAAACCCCCCCCCCCACTTTTTCCCCTCCAGCCCCTGCATGCCCCCTCTTTTCTGTCCAAGCCCCGTGCACTGTCTCTCTTTTCTCCTCCAGCCCTGTGCATGTCCCCTCAAGCCCCGTGCTGCCTTAACTCCCTTCTGGCCCTCCTAGGGTTCCTGCATCCTCCCCCATTTCCTCCTTAAGCCCTGTGCGTCCCTGATCTTTGCCCTTCAAGCTACCTGCTGCTTAACCCCCCTCTGGCCCCCTCAAGGTCCCTAAATCCAGCTGTTTGCCCCTCAAGCTGTGTGCATCTGACCCTCTTTCCCGTTTAGGCCCCTCCATGTCCACTGAAGCCCCTGCTGCCTTAATGTCCTCCCCTCTGGGCTTCTCAAGGTCCCTGCATTCCCCTGTGTGTCTGCCTGAGGCTGCCTGCGTCCCCCTCTCTTTCCCCCTCAAGCTCCCTGCATTCCCCCCTTCATGTCCCCTCAAGTGTCCTGGTGTGTTAAGCCCTGTCTGGTCTCCTGAAGCCCACTGCATCCCTTGTCTTTGCCCTTGCAGCTTCATGCATGTCCCCTCTGACCCCTGAAGGTCCCTGCTTCCCCCCCTGCTTCCCCCTGAAGGTCCCTGTGTCTTCCCTCATATCCTGTCAAGCCCCCTGTGCACGTCTCCCCTTTTCTCCCTCAGCTTCCTGTGTGTGCCCTCAAGCACTGTGGTGCCTTAACCCGCCTCTGGCCCCCTCAAGGTCCCTACATCCTTGTCTGTTTTTCCTTCCGGAGCCCTGCATTCCCCCCCCCCCGTCTTTGCCGGTGAAGCTGCCTGGTGCCTTAACCCTGCTCTGGCCCCGTCAAGGTCCCTGCATCCTCCGCTCTTTCTGCCTGAAGCTCCGTGCATCCCCCCCCTTTCCTCTTCAAGGTCCCTGGATGCTGCCTCTGCCTGTCTAGCTGCCTGCTGCCTTAATCCTCCTCTGAGCCCGTCAAGGTTATGGCATCACTCACTGTTTCTGTGTCAAGTCCTCTGCATTCCCTTTCTTTGCCCCTGAAGCCCCCTGCATGGTCTTGTGCATCCCCCCTCTGGCCCCCTCAAGGTCTGTAAGTCCCCACGTTTGCCCCTCGAGGCCCGTGCATCCACCCCTCTTTGCTCCTCAGGCCCGTGCATGTCCCCTCAAGCCCCCTGCTGTCTTAACTTGTGCTCTGGGTCCCTCAAGGTCCCTACATTTCCCTGCCTTTCCCCCTCAAGCCCCCTGCATCCCCTCGTTTTGCCCCTCAAGTCCCCTACGTGTTCCGTCAAGACCCCTGCTGCTGTAACCTTCCTCTTGTACCCTCAAGGTCCTTGTGTCCTCCTTGTTTCCTCGTCAAGCTGTGTGTTACCCCTTAAGCTCCCTACATCCCCCTCCTGCATGTCCCCTCAAGCCCTCTGGTGCCTTAAGTGCCCTCTGGCCCCCTCAAGCTCCCTGCATTGCCTGTGTTTTCCCATCAAGCCTTGTGCATGCCGTGTCAAGCCCTCTGCTGCCTTAACCCCTGTCTGGCCCCCTCAGGGTCCCAACATTTCATCCCCCCCATTTCTGCCTGAAGCTCCCTGCATCCCTCCTTGTATCCTGGTAGCCTTGCTTCACCTCCCATCTTTGCTCCTCCAGCCTCCTGCATGTCCCCTCAAGCTCGCTGCTGCCTTAATCCTCCTGTGGGCCCCTCAAACTTCCTGCGCACCCCGTTTCTGCATCAAGCTCTGTGCGTCCCCCCCTTGTGTCCCCTTAAGCTTCCTGCACCCCCCGTTTGCTTGTGAAGTCTCCTGCTTGTCCCCTCACGCGTGCTTCAGCCTTAATCCCCCTCTGGCTCTGTCAAGCGCCCTGGATTCTGCCTCTGGATTTGTGAAGCACACTGCATCCCCTTGTGTGTGCCCTCAAGGTCTCTGCATCCCCCTCTTTGCTCCCCCAGCCCCCTGCATGTCCCCTCAAGCATCCTGCTGCCTTAAGTGCCCTGTGGCCCCCTGTTTTCCCCTCCAGCCCTGTGCATCCCCATTGCTTTCCCTCCAAGCCCTGTGCATTGTCCCTCTTTGCATGTCTCCTCAAGCCCTGTGCTGCCTTAACACGCTTCTGGCCCTCTTAGGGTCCCTGCATCCTCCTGTTTCCCCCTCAAGCCCTGTGCAGCCCCGTTCTTTGCCCTTCAAGCTGCTTGCATGTCCCCTCTAGCCCCCTGCTGCTTTAAACCCCTCTGGCCCTCTCAAGGTTCCTAAATCCTGCTGTTAGCCCCTCAAGCTGTCTGCATCTGTCCCTCTTTCCCATTTAGGCCCCTGCATGTCCACTCCAGCCCTGTGCTGCCTTAATGTCCTCCCCTCTGGGCCTCTCAAGGTCTCTGCATTCCCCTGTGTTTCTGGCTGAAGCTGCCTGCATCCTCCCCACCCTCCTTTCCCTCTCCCTCTCAACCTGCTTGTATTCCTCCTTCATCCCCCCTCAAGTGTCCTGGTGTGTTAACCCCTCACTGGTCTCCTCAAGCTCTGTGTATTTCATTGTCTTTGGTGCTGAAGCCCCCTGCATCCCCTGTCCTTGCCCTTGAAGGCTCCTGTATGTTCCCTATGGCCTGCTGAAGGTCCCTGCATCCCCCTCTTCCCCCCTGAAGGTGCTGGCATCTCCTCTCATGTCCTGTCAAGCCCCCTGTGCACTTCCCCCCTTTGCTCCCTCAGCCTCACAGGCTAAGCTCAAAAGTTTGGCATTAACAATCAAGATAGAAAAAAGCTTCATGTTTGGATATTATTTAACGGGGTCAGAGATGATATCTTCATTCCACAATTGGTAAATCTGGCTGGGCTGAGGAGTTGGGTTCAGGGGAGAGGTTACTAGCACTTGCACCCTGATGCTCCTCACTTGCCTGAGTGAGGTCCTGAGGGTCTTTGTCCTTGGCCTCAGGGAAAGGTCTTAATCTGGGTTGGAATTCAGTCGCTTTGGGGTCCAATGGAGGTGATACTTCTTTACAGTGCGAGGCGTGAGTCCACATCTGGTGACCTTGGCAATGAACAGCAGTGTTAGTGGTCAGAAGCACCTGAAACGGTCCTTTCTATCTGGGTTGAAGCACGTTTTTCTGCTGATGGACCTTTACATAGACTCAATCACCTGGTTTGAGGTTGTGACAGGGAATATCCAGTGGTTGAGGTAAGGCTTCTTCGACCTGTGAATGAACAGACCTGACACTTCATTAATGCCTTGCAATAGTTCAGCACAGTTTCATCAGTTAGTTGTAGGTCTGTTTGGTATGGGGCAGCAGTTGGGGTGGCCAGCATCCTCGGGGGTCATGCCATGAGTATTTCATAAGGTCTTAGGCCATGTTTTCTATCGACAGTGTTTCTAATGTGCATGAGAGGAATGAGCAGTGCATCAGGCCATTTGAGGCCTGTTTCAGCACAAATTTTTGAAATGCGTGTCTTTAAATCAGAGTTTTTACATTCTACAGCACCACTTGATCGTGGATGATAACTATGCGCAGGTAGCTGCAGGTGTTGCTGTATGTTGAGTGCTTGGCAGATGCTTTTTACTATTTGTCTTGTGAAATGGGTGCCTATCGCTATCTATTGTGTGGGGCAATCCAAATCTAGGAATGAATTCTTTAAGCAGTTTCTTAGCTACTGTGATGGAATCGGCATGTATGCATGGGTAGGCTTCCACCCATCCAGAGAACATATCAATAATAACAAGAATATACTCATACGAACAACACATGGGTAGCTGTACAAAATTAATTTGCAAATTCACAAACAGTCCCCATGGAGGGGGATGGGCTGCAGGTGTTGTCTTTACCCGTTGCCCAATGTTATGAGCTAAACAGATGGGACAGGAGCTACAGTACTGTTGCGCCATGGAAGGAAAATTTGGGGCAAACCAATCTCTTTCTACTGTAGCAATTGTCCCCCCTTTGCTCGTATGGGCCACAGAGTGGGTTAAACGAGCAAGATGTGGGAGGAGTTCTCTAGGTGCCACCAGGCGGCCGTCCGGGGAGCGCCAGGGAGAGTCAGGGTGCAGTGAACACTCTGCACGCAGCCAGTCATCCTTTTCCTTTTTTGCAGCCCGATTCTGGAGAAAGGCTTGAATTGAAAGGCTAGCTAAGGGAGACTGGTCTGCTGAAAAAAAACAAACAAGAACAGAGTTAGGAGCCTGTGGGCCAGAAAGGGCCGCATTTCTGGCAGAACAGTCTGCCAGATCATTTCCTTTTGTGACATTATTAAAAGGTTTCTCATGAGCTTTACATTTAACAATAGCAATGGCAGAAGGCAGTTGAACAGCTTCTAAAAAGCACATTAACATAACAACCGAGTGATTTGGCTCCTCGATGAAGTGAGGAACCCTCTTTGTTTCTAGATCTGTCCAAAATTATGAACAACACCAAAAGCATACTTAGAGTCAGTGTAAATGGTTGTGGTTTGATTCTTTGCGAGGATACAGGCACGTGTTAAAGCAATGAGTTCAGCAACTTGAGCAGAACGAGCTTGGGATAAAAGAATAGGCTTCCAAAGCAGTATACTGAGTGCATACTGCATATCCCGCAACTAATTGGCCTGCATCATTTCTAAGACAGGAACCATCAACAAACAAAACAAGGTCAAAGTTTGGGATAAGAATGTCCTTGAGGTCAGTTTGAGGGGTTAATTGAGTTGTAACAGACAGGCAATTATGAGGTTCACCATCAGAGGCGATTGGCAGAAGTGAAGCAGGCTTTAGAATTGAACAGTGGCTTAAGGTCACATTTGCAGACAACAATAAAAGTTTCTCATATTTGGTAAGGTGGGAATTGGAAATGTGCTGAGTTTTGCCTTTGAGGAGAAGGGCCATCACAGCATGTGGAACTGCAATGGTCAAAGAGTATCCTAAAACTAGAGTATCTGCCTTTTTAACCAATAAGGCAGCAACTGCAACTGAACAGAGACAAGGAGAAAGCCCAGCAGCCATGGGATCAAAGGCAGAGCTGTAGTACGCGATTGGGCGATGCTTTTCACCATGCAACTGAGTGAGTACCCCTAAAGCAATTCCTTCCCATTCATGACAAAACAAGGTAAAGGGTTTCTGATAACTGGGGAGTCCAAGAGCAGGAGCAACAGTGAGGGCTTACTTGAGGGCTACAAATGCTTGTTCAGCCTCAGGAGTTCAAGGGAGTGGTTCTGGGGTAGAATCATGAGTGAATGCTTGCAAGGGTTTTGCAAAAGCGGTGTAACCCAGGATCTACTGCCTACAGTAACCTGTTGCACCCAAGAATCTCCTCATCGGTTCCCAAACCCATGACTAGGAAATGTTGAGGATAGCTTCAACTCTACTGGGGGAAAGATGTCATTCTCCTGCTGAGATATCAGGTCTTAAATAATGTACCTTAGACTTACAGAATTGCAGTTTGGATTTTGAGGCCTTGTGGCCTTTCTGAGCTAAAGCTGTGAGGAGTGTCAAAGTATCCTGTTCGCAGGCCTCTAAAGTAGGTGAGTGTGACAGGGGGCCTCCTCAGGGCCGAACTCCGTGGCCCACCCCCTGTCTCAATGGGCCAGCCGCCCGCCCAT